AAACCTGTTCAAAAGGGTTCAAGTTTGCATACTCAGCTACTAAGACCCTCTTATAAAACCCCTATAGATCCCGCAAAGGAACCTCTTAAAGGAACCCTAAGCCCTTGTAGTAGCCTTTTAGGGGCCGTTAAAGGAACGATGCTACTAAGCCAAACAGACTGGAGTTAAGATTAAGATTCCTTTTAGAACCCTTATGGCTTCCTTTAAGGGCACCCTGATAGAACCCTTTAAGGGAACCCAGCTACTCAGCAAAGAGACTGGAGGTCCTGAGAACCCAAGTAGAACCTTTATGGATCCCTTTAAAGGAACCCTTATACATCCCTTTAAAGGAACCCTTGTAGATCCCTTTAAAGGATCCCTTATAGATCCCTTTAAAGGAAACCCTTTATAGATCCCTTTCAAGGAACCCCTAAACCCCCAAAGAGTAGCTTCGGTTCCTTTAATGGCTTCTTTAAGGGTACTATAAGGGCTTAGGGTTCCTATAAGGGGGCTAGAGGTCCCGAGCCTCCGGCCTTTGCAGTAATGAGCCTCGCAATGGGCGCCAGCTTGGCCTGAACCCAGGGCTGCTGCAGCTTTGAGGGGTTTAGGGGTTCCTTGAAAGGGATCTATAAGGGTTCCTTTAAAGGGATCTATAGGGGGAGGGTGGGGTGGGGGGGGAAGGGGGTGAGGTAGGATTTGTGGGTCTTGGGTTTAGGGTTAAGGGGTTTAGGGTGTATGGGTTTATGGTTTAGGGTTTGGGGTATAAGGTAGCCATAACAAGAAACGGCCACAATTCATTACGGCATATCAGATAAGTACGCACATACATGAAGTGTAAAGGAGTTATTGAAGGGGGCTCAAAAGTCTCTGAAGGTATAGTGAAGTATAGTGAATTTGGATATGCATAGTTTTCTCAATTTTGGTCGCTTGTTAGGTCCCCAAAATGGTACGGCACCCTTGTAAACTACCCACATACCTGCGTTTGACATCAAGATTGAGGCCACAACCCTAAAACCGAGTCCGTCCCAGACTATACGGTGATTATCGTACTAGGTGTTCCAACCCCTCGTGTCTGTATTTTGGGTCCCAAAGTAGGCACCATGCACAGAAACTAAGCACCATGCACAGACTGTAGACCCCAAGGCGTACTGAGAAAACACACAACGCTTATCAACCCATGGCAGTGCAATAAACCTCCTAAATAATGAAGACTGTATAAACCCTTGTAGAAACTTCAAAACCTTAAGCAACCTGAACCCTCAACTCCCGAACCCCCAAACCTTAAACCCTAAACTCCTAAACCCTAAACCTTAAGCCCTAAACTCCTAAACCCTGATCCCTTTAAAGGGAACCCTTATAGCCCCTTCAAGGCTCCCCCTTAAGGAGCCCTAAACCCTAAACTCCTAAACCCTAAACCATTGGCCGCCCGCGCCCGGCGGCGGCCGGTACCACTGAACGCTACCGCTTCGAGATCTGCTTGCTTGGCCAAGCAGATCGAGTCTACCAGACCTGATTTGGCACTGCTAGCCATGGGGCACAATAGTAAAATTGGGTAATGTTAAAACCGCTATAATTGAAGAAGGCCCATTAGTTGACAGTGGGATATCGCCAGCAAAGCAAAGCTGCAGCTTGCGAGATGGTAAGCTGGGTGTATGACAAGACATGGAAAAGATGTCTTGCAGACTTTTCTTCCTTCAATCTTCCAAGACAACGTCGGCACCATTCTATAAAAAACTCGTTCCAATCCTGTTTGACAGATGTGATTGCTCCAAGTTAACGTCAGCACCACCCTAAGCGACTTTACCCCGATCCTGTTTGACATCAATCCTGTTTGGCAGGATTGCTTTCTTCAAGACAACGTCACCACCACCCCAAAGCTCCCGCTTGACAGGTGTGCTTCTTCCAAGACAACCTCGGCACAAACTACACTCTACAGAAACCTCGCTCCAATCTTGTTTGACAGGTATGATTTCTCCAAGACAACGTCAGCGCCACCCTAAAGCGACTTTACCCCGATCCTGTTTGACATCAATCCTGTTTGGCAGGATTGCTTTCTTCAAGACAACGTCACCACCACCCCAAAGCGACTGCCATTACCCCGATCCTGTTCGACATCAAATCTGTTTTGATAGGTTTGCTTCCTCCAAGACAAAGTCAGCAGCACTCTACAACGACTTCACCACGATTTTCTTGGCCTCAGCATTTCTTGTGTGACTGAGGGGCACTTGGGATGGTTCCTGGGGTCCTCGAAAGCCCCGGCAGTGTCAAATCGCAACGAAACTTGAGGACAACATATAAAATAAAATATTTTGCAATTCGAGGTTTCTTTATCATCTCTCTCTTTTCTTTCTTCGCTCGCTCGCTCTCGCTCTCGCACTTCGCTCTTTCTCTCTTCTCTCTGGGTGCACCTGAGTTTAGAAGAGGCAAGGCGCAAACCAATACTTCCAGGAAGGATTTGCTCAAAAGGGTTGTTTTTTTGGCCGTCCTGCCCCCCCCCCCCTTCATGTTGGATCGAATTTTGTGCAATTTGCGACGCAACGATTTTCAGGGCTTTGCGGCTAGTAGTCTTAGAGGTTTTAAGACCAAAAACGTGCCAAGTCTTGACATTTGTAAAAGCTGCGACCCGACGAAGCCACCAAGAAGACTCGACAAACAGGATAGGGGCAAAACCCCCACCAAGTAGACCCGACAAACAGGATAGGGGCAAAACCCAAACAGGATAGGGGCAAAACCCCCGCCAAGTAGACCCGACAAACAGGATAGGGGCAAAACCCAAACAGGATAGGGGCAAAACCCCCACCAAGTAGACCCGACAAACAGGATAGGGGCAAAACCCAAACAGGATAGGGGCAAAAACCCCCACCAAGTAGACCCGACAAACAGGATAGGGGCAAAACCCAAACAGGATAGGGGCAAAACCCCCACCAAGTAGACCCGACAAACAGGATAGGGGCAAAACCCAAACAGGATAGGGGCAAAACCCCCACCAAGTAGACCCGACAAACAGGATAGGGGCAAAACCCCCACCAAGTAGACCCGACAAACAGGATAAAGCAAAACCCAAACAGGATAGGGGCAAAACCCCCACCAAGTAGACCTGACAAACAGGATAATTAGGGGCAAAACCCAGACAGGATAGGGGCAAAACCCCCACCAAGTAGACCCGACAAACAGGATAGGGGCAAAACCCAAACAGGATAGGGGCAAAACCCCCACCAAGTAGACCCGACAAACAGGATAGTAGGGGCAAAACCCAAACAGGATAGGGGCAAAACCCCCACCGAGTAGACCCGACAAACAAGATAGCGGCAAAGCCACCAAGAAGACCCGACGACAAAGTAAATTTTCCAGCCCGACGAGCCAGTTTCGAGGCCCGAACAACAAATATATCTTGCCAGGCCTTGGAGCGACCCCCAAAGTTGCCAAGCGTCTGCAGTCATTTCGAAGGCAATGGGAAACCGAGCAATGTCAAATAAAACAAGAAATTTCGTGCTATTTTCGGCCACTCAGCGTTCGTAAAGGCTGCATTTGTTTTACTTGGCCTTCCTCATCACCTCCTTCCCCCTTCCGCCGCGCCTTCCAAACTAGCCTCTGGTAACTAATTAACAGGTGTTGTTGGGTTTATAGGGGTTTACAATCTAGATCTTCTGGGCCATCGCCTGGTTTCAGGATGGAGTTCAGGGTTTTAGGGTTTAGTGTTTTAGCAGGCTTCCGTGTATCGGTTACCTGAAGCTCTCAAGCTTTAAACCTGAAGAGCTCCTCAACCCCCCACAGCCCTCAAAGCAACCCCTTTACAGGAACCCCAAGAGCCCAAAACTCTCGTGACCTCCCGCAGGCAAATGTCCCGATACAGACGCCGAAATATCTTGCACGACGCTTCTAGAGAGATAGAGTTTCATGCCATAACGTGGAAATCTTGATACTTTATATAAAGCCCTTCCGAAGCCATGAACCCCAAGCCCAAAACTCGTAAGCCCCAGCGACTGCTCGGCCGTGCTGTGGCAGCAAGGTTAGGGTTTAGGGTTTAAGCTTCAGGCTTTCGAATGTAGAGTTCTGGGCTCTAGCCGAATTTCAGCGAAGCTGTACCTTGAGCGTAGCTTAAGGCTGAAATAGGGATAGTAGCTACATTCCATCTAAGTAGTTTGGGGGACAGGTTTAAGAATGCACGACGAAGTCGAAAATTACATGACAAGCTGTTGTGTCTCAGCATGTCTTGTCTTTTACGAGCCCGAGCTCGTGATGATTCAATCCGTGCCTGGCTTCATTTTGAAGCGGCATGTTCACGTAATTACAGCTGAGTTCTTGTTTGATTAGGCCCTCAAGGCCTTGGAATGCCTTTCTGCACCAAGCCACACTAGCTGAACCCTAGTGCCTCAACCCTCCTGCCGGAACCCAGGTTTTCAATTTGGTAACGTACAGGGTCACCGAGCATGATGTCTCACTCTAGCCCGTCTCACTGCCGCGCTCTGTCACCTGCCATGGATGCAAAACGTGTAAAACCGCAGGCTGAAGTCATTTCTTTGCGTTTCTGACATGCACAGCACAGAGGCCCCGAGGTGTCACTGTTTTGTTCTAACACCGAGGCTGCGTGGCAATGTGTTGAGTGCTGAGCTGTACTGCTGTGGTTTGGTGTGTTGAAATGAAGGCTTGCAATAGGAATCACAGTCTCTTCCCGAACATTTCGCACCTTCAGCCCCAAAGCGAAGCAGAAGCAATGATGTCCTAAAGCCGTGGCCTCGCCAGTCCACCCGCAGAAGCTAAAAGAAAACAAGCACTCAAAGCCCTGAGCAGTTGAGCAAAGCCCCAAGTTGTTTCAAGCCCTGAATGCAGAAGGCGCGCTGCCTGTAATCACATGTTTCATTTGTTCTCCTCGGTTTTGACCATTCCCCAGGTGAAACAAGCGGACACGACTATGCTTGCTTCGGCGCATCTTCTACGGACGTTCTTGATTAGTTACGGTTAAGTACTTAGCTATTATTTGAGAACCGAAGCAAGTAAGTCGCAGTCCAACCACCAAGCTCTTAGCCGTCTTGGCCTGTGCTGGCTGCAGCTGCTGCACTGCCACTGCCCTTGCCACTCGCAGCCAAGAAGTCCTGCCACCACGCAGCCGTCACTGGCCACTCGTGAAGTCCCAGTGGGAATGCCGTCACACCGACAGCAGCTGAGAAGCGGAACACCCCTGCCAAGAATGCAATGTCAGCAATGTTCTGCGATTCTTCCAGCAAGGCTCTGCCGGACCATCGCTTGCTGCACAAGGACTCGTAACCTGGGCAAGTGTTCCGCAGAAGCTGGTCTAACAGTAGACAAGGCGCACGGTGCAATGCAGATGTGCTTTCCGGTGTTCTGTGATTCAGCAAACGCCAGCAGAATGCTTCGGAGGCCCAAATTTTCGCATCGCTCTTGCTGCCATTCGGGTTCACCATCTTCAAATCCTTTCGGCTCGCATCCAGGAACGCTGGCACCGGCATGCTCTTCTCTCCGAGTTTCTGCTTGCATGCTTTGGCAACAGAGCAGGCCAAAGCAGACTTCTCGGACTTGCTGCCAGTTTCCAGTGACCAGTTTAGCAATCTGTTCGCCATCCTGCTGGCAAAGAACATCTTGGTCAACTGATCAATGTGCGACTGCTCTGCGCGTTGCTGTGCCTCGGCAGCTCGCGCTAACTTTGCATCTTCCAGCCTCAGTTTGCAAGCAGCCTGTGCACTGGACTTCTCCGCCTTGGCCTTCTGCAGCGCAAGCTCTGCTGTCTTTTGCTCTTGCTGGAGTTGCCGCCACTTCTCCCTTGCAGCGGCTGCCTCTGCACGCGCCTGGGCTTCTTCAGCACGTCGTTCAAGAGCTTTTGCACGCAAGTGTACACTCACGGCTTCGTTCGGTCGAGCTTGTCTTTTGCGGACATCCAGGATGCGCTGGTCCAGAAAGTTTTTGGTGGCTGTGTCACCAAGCTCCTGCATTGTCGATCGCATGGCTACGAGTTGTTCCAGCTGCTTCTTGTCGTTCTCCACTGCCACTTCTTTCTGGGCTTTCTCTTGCAATGACGCAGCATCTTTGGCCGAAGCAAGCTTTGCGACCTCGTCTGCGCGATCATCCTCCTCGAAGAGCTTGTCCGCGTAGTCAGGATTGTCGGGCGACTCATATCCGTCCTCTGCTGTGGGTTCCAGCATTTCTTCTGGCCATGCTTCTTCCCCTTCAATCAAGGCCCTGTGCTCGTCGTAGGGCTCCAAGACATTCTCGTACTCGGACCATTCTGAAATCTGGCCATTGGCATATGCATCTTCGATCTCCGCAATGAGTTGCTGCCTGGCCGTGTCCATTTGTAGCTCTGCCCAAAATGGCAGCACCACGCGCGACAAGAGATGATCGTCCGAACCATCCAGCGCGTTGGTGATGCCAGCTGCGACCCAACCCTCGCTTACTCTGTCGTGCTGCACTTGACGCCAACTGTCGACAGCGCGAGAAAGGACGGTTTGTCTGGAGGTGCATGGCAGCACGCTTCCCCTTCGGAGCTGCGCTGCACTGTCGTGCACCTCTGCGTCCTTGTATGCTGCCTCGTAAGACCAATGGGCGTGAGTGTCGAGCACGGCCACAAATGGCGTGCTCCCGCCACCCAGCTTCAAAGGAACATGTCCGCGAGCCTGTTTCTGTTCATTGGGCAATGCTACATTTTGCCAGAAAACGAAAACCTCACGGAACTACGAACCCCAACGTAGCCTTGATGAGATCGTCGACGGATGGATCCAAGTGAGCGCTGAACCAGTCCAACACGACCACTTCACATTCGCTTCCGTCATTGCTGTCTGCTTTGCCCAAATCCCACTTCAAGAAGTCGAGCACATGCTCGACACGGTACGACCCCTTCGGGCCGCACTGCACGAGACATCCATTGGGAACGTCCAAGGCCGTCTTAATCCGATCAGTCTCTGCTTTGAAAAGTACAGCGATGTTTCTCGGGTCGCCACTGCCGTTGGACCGACGGCAGGCGTCGGAGATGTTCTCTCCTGCCGAAAGTTGGATTGCCTTCGTCATCGCCGTGAATCGGCATCTTGTCGCGTGGACGTTCTCTTTCACGTTCACGTCCTTCACACCGCGAAGAGCGAGTGTTCTGCAACCATCCAGGCTGTTGAAGAATAGCGGCTTTTGATCGTACGAGCGGAATCTGAGCTTCCCCTTCTCACCGAAGCAAAGCCGGTGTAGGGTGCGCAGCCGGATGCAGTTGCGCCAGAGAACACCCAAGCGCTGCTTCAGCTTTTCCCTCGGGACTTTGTATGCTACCGTGCGAGCCCGCCAGCTCACGTGGTACGCTTTTCGCCACCTTTGCAGCCACGAACTGTCTATTTTCGGCAGCTGTTCTAAAGCCTCGGGTTGCAGCTCACCATTTTCGATCTGCATTTGAAGTATCTCTTTGTAATCCTGGGAAATCACACAGGCCTGAGCCTGCAAAATGCGGCTCGTCAGTCTGCACCGCACGTTTTGGACCTCAGTTTCGACAAGTTTCCCATCATCTGCACATGCGACATTTCATAACATCAGCACCTACGAAACATGTTAATTAGCCAAAACACTGTGTCTACAAACCACTGGAACAATTCCATGCCGATATCCACAGCCAGACTTCGTCGACCACCCCCGCTAATGCGGCGGCGCTTTTGGCCGCCGCGTGTGTCGGCAGCTTCCTTCAGCCGCTCAAGGGCCCCATCTTTTAGCAAGTGGTAGCACATCGACCTCACCCTTCCGAACTCTCTGGCATCGGATGTCGTCGCAGGGAATCGTTTCCATATGAACTGCGTCAGCGCAGCGCCAAGTTTGGAATGGCCTAGCGCGTCCTGCTTTGCCTTCAGCTCTTGCAGTTCCGAAGCCCATGCCAGTCTATCACTTACGGATGTGGACACGTACTTTGCCCGCGAACTCGAACTGGTCCGGCTGGCCTCTTCATCCGCAACCAAAACTGCCTCGAGACAGTCTTGCACACTTGGTCTTTTCACAGGGCTGCTTTTGGCGGGACCTTTTTCAAGGTTCAGGAGTAGTGCTGCAGCGAGGGTCGGCATGCATCCAGCTTGGTCACGGACAGTCCCTACGTGCGGATCTCTCGGACTACGTCTGTATGAAGCATGACGTTTTGCAAATCTCAAATCCTGTCAAGCTACTCAAACACGGAGTCCGCGGTCTGCCACTCGCACAAAGCAGTGAGCTGAACCCCAAAAAAAAACTGCAGTCATTGCACGTTGCGTCGAAGTACAAGAACATGCCTCTCTCTCGCAGGACAGCAAGCTCACACCCTTTGCAGCTTTGCAGCCGCATTGCCTGGTCCTGCCTCGAAGCGCACGAAGCATTGAAGCCGCAGACACGAGACCTTGCTTCGCCTTAGAAGGATGTTTTGCCAGGCTTATGCAACAGAATTGCAGACGTTCCACATGTGCACGGGCCAACTCGAAAAAAAGCATGGGCATGCGCAAGGGCTAACTGCATTTGACTGCTCCCTAGCTTTGGAATCCACTGCGATGTCTGCAGAGTCCGTCGCAAAGATTTGGAACCTTGCGAGCTTTCAAGCTACACTCCTCAGGGGCCCCCACGCTCTCTTACAAGCCATCGCAAGTCTTGGACGCTCTCTTGCTGTCAAGCTACACGTCTGCAGGGGCCCGCAAAACAGTGAAAGCGGCGAGGTGAGATTGCGCTCTCCGCACAATCCGTCACAAAAAGTTCGAAGCGTTGATGTTTGCCCTCGCACAGACTTGCGAGCTATCAACTTTCAAGCTGCGCAGCTGCAGGGGCCTTTAGAACTGTGAAAGCGGGAAGGTCCCGTTCGTTTGTCAAAACTTGGAAGCTCAAGTCGAGTGTGATCTTACTGCTCTTCTTCAGTGGCTTCTTGTCGAAGATGAGCGAGGCGCTGCAGGAGACAGTCGTTTGTGTCTTCACTTCCTTGAACACCAACGTCGGCGCATCCTGGCTCTGGTGCTGCGGTTTTGTGGCGAATTTCCAGTAGAAGCCGTCCACCGGGTAGAGGCGCAAGGACAGCGGCTCAGCCTTGGTGCCCTTCTGAGTCACGACGAGGAGAGGTAAGTCTTGCTCCGCATTTTCCGCTTGCTTTTCCAGCACTCGCGGTCGGATGCCGTCTTCCGACACGATGCTCGTGAAAGGCAGGAAAACCAGGGAACCGGCTTTCGCAGCGTAGTTGATGGACATGGTCTCGCCTTCGGTCTCCTCGTGTACCCGCAACTGATCTTGGCCCGGGCTCCATGCAGCATTCAAGGAGAACAACGCCGCTCGCACGGCGTCCTTGATGGCACCCTTGGCTTGGCTCTCAGTCATGAGGCTCCATTTGCGCCCTGGCTGGCGTGGGTCAACCGCGCGAGGCTCTTTCGTTTTCTTCTGCTGCAATGCGTTCTTGTCCACTGTCAAATCATCCAAGTTCACACAATGCACGGTGCCATCGGCGTCACGAACCTGCGCGTTCTCGGACCCCGACACGAAGCTCAAGAGCTCACCTTGCACAGACGTCGAGTCGGACTTGCCGCCCATGATGACAGGACAGCCTGGGGCCAAGCCCTTGGCACGTGCACGCGTGAAGATGTCCTCCTGCACGCGACCCTCCTTGACAAGAAGTGGTGGCAAGCAGTCCGCTGTCGTTGAAAGTTTCTGCCTCTTCGGACTGGGCTCCGTTGGCGCTGGCAGGACCTAAAATGCTTCAGCAGACAGCGCGCAAACATCTAGGACACAGAGGGGCTTTCAAACATGCTACAACAACATGCTGAGGCAAAAGCTCGCGATGGAAGCGACGCCCCCGTAGCGCCTTGCAAGATCTGTCTCATCTTGTCCTCGGCGACCCCCAACTTTTGGCCCAGGTCTTCTGTGCGCTCGTCGGAGTCCAAAACGCCCGTCATCTTGCTCAGAGCTTCGGCCGCCTTGGACAGGAAAACAACCTGAGCTTTCAAGTAGGTCTCAGATGGCACAGATCCCACGTGGTCGCGCGCGTACCCCCGGACGACCTTGGCAAGCTTCTCCTCCGCGCACTGCACAGCATGACGGTCCAGCTTTGCAAACGCCCGGATTTGGCCATCTGGAACCTGCTGGCCAACCATCTTCGTGCCGTGCTTCACCATGCGAGTGGAGGGAGAGCACCTCAAAATCAGAAGAGCGACAAACGAACCCTCGAGAGACCACATAAATATTGGAACAAAACAGCTATATGCTCAGCCGCGTCACATGTTGGCCACGGCCAGGGATGTGCGACACCAAACTGCAATCTCTGGCAAGCTTGTCAGCGCCGTCAGCGTACCCGCACTCAGAACCTGCTCAGAAGCGTTGACGTACGTCTGGAAGGTGTTTTGGAGCACCTCCACTTGCTCTTCGCCCAGGAGCTTGGCAAAGTTGAAGCAAGCAACCTTGACATCGTCCGGGTGGCCTGACACGGGTCCGTCGCGGGACACCGCATCGAAGAAGCTTTCGCCTGGGCGAGGCACGGCCACACGGCAAGAAGCGAAGTATGCCGAGATCAACGCCATTTCTGTCTCTGCCAGAGCGAAGGCGGCATCCAGATTGTCTCCATGCATCAAGGCTTTGATGGCATTCGGGTGTTTGTTCCACGCTTCGTGCTGGAGCGTCTCAAACCACATGCCATTGGCCCATGTCTGCTGCACCTCCGGGTCGTCCATGTTGGGCACGATTGGCAACCCTGTATCGTGGTAGCAGCGTCCCCCCACTTTGGCCGTGTACAAGCCATGCCACAAGTGGCTCTTGCAAAACGACCCACGAAGCGGCTTCAGCTCGACTTCCGCAAGCAAAGACTTTTGCATTGCAACGAACTTGTTCGTGTGCCGAGCGTACCGGAGCGGATCGGTTGGAGGGGGCTCCAAACACATCCCACGATTGTATCTCCAGACACACAAGCCCTCTTGCCCGAAGATCCTCTTGATGACGCCTTGCGCATGCTTGCCGTTGACGCCGGCACCACTTCTGTTGAAGTCAGCGACTGCCATTTCATGAAGTGGAACCCTGGTCACTCCAAGAAAAAACGTCTTCAGCACGTAACTCGCCTCCTGGAGACAGAGGCTTGAGGAAGCCGCGGACTCGGCCATGACTCGCACGGACAGGAGGCAAGGGATCACTTCACTTGGAGCCCAGCTGCCACATCGCGGACATGCTGCGAGTAAGAACCTGCGATATCGCAGGCTGTGATCTGCACATGTGTCAGAAGCTGCGATATGGAAGTGTGCTGTCCCAACATGTGTCGCAAGCTGCGATATCGCAGTCTCCAGATGTGTCGCATTCCGCATCCCAAACATGCACGTGCACTGTCACTTTTTTTACAGGGCCAGCACGTCGGACAGAACTCGCACAAAATCCGGCTCTCCGAACGTCCATGCTGTCACAGACAGCACAGCGAACCTAAGTCACGTGACTGGGAAGCGCTCGCGATCACTACGGTCCAAGCTGTTCCACAGCCGCAGGGCCTTGATGCGAACATCCTCCCGCACGCGCATGTATTCCTCGGACTGGAGAGCTTCGCCTTTAAAATTTGTACTGGGAACAGCAAGGCCTCTGCTCGAACTGCGTTGCTTCCCCTTCTCGTCTTCATAGTGGATGCACCAACTCTTCGGACCGAACAACCAGCGGATCTCCTTCGTGTTCTCATTCTTGGCATCCAGTTCGCTTGACTCGGCCTTCGCAGGCGGGCATTTCTCGACGTCCGTCTTCGTGTAGCTTTTGATGATGCTCACGAGTGCCGCCACGGACTTGGAAGTGGCCTCGACGAAGAGCACCTTCCGTCGCCATGCAACGGTGAGCTCCGAACCGCGAAATGAGATGCAGTGCGGTTCTCGAAAAAGCTTGCGCGAAGCTTGCTTCGATCCGGACGGGACCTCCCCGCCGTGCTCTCCACCACTGCTCTCCGCCTCCCCCTCCGAGAACAAGTCCTCCCGCCCTGCCACTGCTCGAGCCTGCTGCGCATTCTTGGACTGGGACTCCGCCTCCGAGACGCATCGCTGCAGATCAGAGCTAAGCTGGCGCAAGAGACTTCCCAGGGCTTCGGTGCGGCAGAAGCCTTGCAACACCTGCGGCAACCACAGCCCGCTGGACGAAACAGCTGTCATCCGACAGCCCTGAAACTCCTGTGTCTCCAAAGGCACTGGACGCCGTGCCCATCCGCCCACCACACAGAGAACGTCCCGGAGTTCCACGTCCCGCGGCTGACTGTTGTGCTTCTGAAGCTTGCGTTTGGAGCGGCGCTGCGCTGTCTCCACCGCTGGCGAGTCCATCGCACTAACAAAACACAGCTGGGCCCACGCTGCATCAGGAAGTCGTTCCAACGTCAACGCGCGCACCGACATGGCCTAATTACTGCTGGGTCTCGATGTATCTGACACTGGGGCCCTCGCCCTGACGAGCCGAGCCCGATCCGTCCGTTTCCCGGCAGCGGCCTGCCAGGCACATGCGCCGGCCAAACACATGCCGGCCTGCAGTCAAACCCTACACGAACACGCACGCCCGAGGGATTTTTCACCAGCATGGCCTATCACACAAGCTGTCTATGGACAACCTACCCGACAATCCGCAAGACTGTCCTGCCACAGCTGTCCCTTTCTGCAAGCCATGCCTGCCGAAGACAAAACCTCACAGCACAACTCTTACTGTCCGCGCTACTGTCCGGGATTCACGCGCATACGGTCCTTGTACAAAAGCAAGGCTTGGACAAGAATCTCCTTCTTCTCAGCCCGAAGTGTTTCATCGAGCCAACAGGGATCGGTCTGGGTGCCTTTGTCCTGTTGCTTGGACTGCGGTGAAACGCCCTGATCAGCAACCGGGAGCGGCTCCGGCTCTTTTCCGCAGGGTTCTTTCTTGATGGCCAGCGATGGCACCAGTGGTCGCACTCCCTCGCAGGTGACATACCCCTTTTCCAAATCAAAGTCCAGATCGCGCATGGTGGCGCCTGCCTGCACGGCCTCCTGCACTGTTTTGCTCTGGGAATAGGAAGCCCAACGATCATGTGCCTTAGTCTTCCTTCGTTTCGGGTTGTAAGCCACAAACGTGAGATCGCACGACGTCGCATCCAACCAGTTCATCCGGCGAACCTTCTCTGCACTAACGGGGGTGGCCGCTGCCGCAACTATCCGCTGTCTTTTCGCCGGCGGAGCTGAGCTGCACTCGGGGCCGGACATCATGAGCAGTTTATGTCTAGCAGTAAAACGTACGTACTTGGAATGACATGTCTTGCATTGTCCTCCACATCATGCTGCAGTGCCCGCACAAACATACTCACAGCTCCTGCGAGCCCCGGAGGCCTCCATGAAAATCAATGAGATCTGCGCAACTGACAACCGTCCCTCTCCCGCCCTGGTCGCAAGTGCAACGGAGCTTTTAGTCAAAACACTTCTTAGCCAGGCCTCGGCCACAGTGAAGCGAAATCCTTCAGCGGCTACTTGGCGAAGGCCCAAATTCCTGCCGATGTTGCTAGAGACGGCGCGGGCGGTTATTGATCAAGACGACAGCCGCATTCAACGCGCAAAGCAGAAGGCGTTCGAAGACTAAGTTCTCTGGAAGGCTTCTCTCGTTCTTGCGCTGCAACGCTATTAGTGCGGAACACCACGTCAGGATCATCTAACCTGGAAGAAGACGTCTCTCTGAAGCTGACATTCGAATGTGCCGGACGCACATGCATACAACTGCCCACACAGGAATGTGTGTCGCAAACAAGAACAAGGGCATAAGCCGTCCGAACATGCGAGAGCTGATTGAAGTACGCTGCTGCCTTAAAAACGAAAACCACTGAAGCGCGGCATTCCCTGGTCGAATGCATGTGCGTGTTCTTTGGAACCCAGAAGCGTCTGCCATTCACTCACAGAGCTACTTTTCCGAGCCGCGCGAATTCCTGGAGACATTGGCATGGTACGAATGCGCATGTGGCCTTAATCACAAATATGCGTATGCCTTAAACGAACGAATACATATGTAAGCCGCACGGAACCCCACATTATGTCTTGGCGCACGCATATGCATGTGCCATTGAAAATATATGCCCGTGCCGTGTATGAATATGCATGCGGGCTGCAACAGAACATGCACTGCACAGTGTAGCGCACATGCGTGTGCCGCTGAGGAGTATATACATGTGCCGTGTATGAATATGCCTGCGAGCCACAACCGAACATGCACTGCGCAGCGTGGCGCACATGCATGTGCCATTGACGAGTACATGTGACACGGTATATGCCTCAATATACCGTGTCTGAACATTGCTGCGGGCCGTAACACAGCCTGCGCTGCGCAATGGACATGCGTGTGCCATGTATGAATATGCATGCGGGCTGCAAGACAACATGCACTGCGCAGTGTTGCGCATCTGCTTGTGCAATTGAAGGTGTATGCCTGTGCCGTGTATGAATATGCATGCGGGCTGCAAGAAAACATGCGCTGCACAGTGGAACGCACATGCGTGTGGCATTGACGAGCACATTCGTGTGTCGTGTATGAATATGCCTGCGGGCTACACGAGAACATGCTCTGCGCACTGGAACGCACATGCGTGTGCAGCAACTAAGAAAAGGTAAGGGTTTAAGGCAGTCCAGGGGCACAGAAGCTAGAACAAAAAGGCCTGAGTCCATCTTCACAAAGATAATCTGCGTCAAGGCCGTCTCCTTCGAAGCTTGGTGGTGTACTTAGCTACTCAGCTTTCGAGTTCAGGGTTGCAGCTTTATAAACTCGGACAGAAGACACTTTTTCAAGGCTTCAGGCGCAAACCCGCAACCCCAACAACTCCTTGTAGCTGCGTCTTCACACACGAAGGAGCTGCATGAAGGCCGTGTCCTTCCAAGCTTGTTGAGCTTTAGGCTATCAGGTACGTCCAGGGCCTTGGAGTCTCCAGGTTTGCTGAGGTTTCAACCATGCGCCCAGAAACCCAACGAGTCCTGGAACGTCCATTTTCACAGAGAAAAGCTGCATGAAGGCGGCGTCCGTCCAAGCTTGGCGAGCTTTGGCCTCCCAAGTTTGCAGGCAAAATTTTTGACGCTTCAGTCCTCGGGCTCAAGCGGAAGGTTTTTTTGTTTTACGGGGTTAAGGATTTAGAGGAGTTGAGGCCCTACGGTCCAGGGTTGAGGCCTTATGGTCTTCGTTTTGCAAGCCTGCCATGATTGCCATGGAACTCGCCCATCTTGATTATGTGCGGTTGCCGGCTCAAATTCGCAAGGCCAAATCCTAAAGACTCTCAAGGGTTCGGGATGTGTGGTTTTGGATGAAAAGAGCTTCTGCGCCGCAAGGTCTTTGCAACCCTAAATCCAAACCTGCAAGGGGCGTCTTGTCGTGGATTCGTGATCAAACACTATATACGTCTGCAACGCGTGTGCCAATGTGCCCCTGCCTTGTATAAGGGCAGCACTCGTCGCCAAAAACACGCAACACAAACACGGCGAAGCTGCAGGCAATCCGTGTAGACTACTTGCCCACACATCTGCGTCTCCATGCTTCAAGAACATGATGCGGGTGACAGGGCTTGCTGCTGCTCCCCATCCACGCGCCTGCGTGCCGGCATGTCCGTCAGACGTAATTACACGTGCAACACGTCCGGGCATAATATGTCGGCGAAGCTTGCGCGTGTGCGTGCTAGAACGGCCGTCTTTCAGCCACACGTCCAGACACGTGAGGGCAAACGTCCGCGACGCGTCGGCGTGTCCACGAGAAGGAAAAGCCAGAGAGCCCAATACCTCGTAAGTAAGGAGTACGGCTTAAATCATAATATTACGTATAGCGCCCGCTTAGTCTAGCAGCCACTTTCCTTATCTAACGGGTAGTATCGGCTCTCTGGACATACGTCGGCGACACGTCGACGTTTATGTTTAAAGCAAGGTGCATATGCGACGCGTTTGCGTGTCTGCCAAAAGCGGGCATACGTCGGGCCAAGCGGGTTAAATGCCTATCCGACGCATCGGCGTGTCCATGACATGCTCGCTTACACGGAGAGAAGCAGGGTACGCTTGCAACGTGTCGGCAGCTCCATGAAAAGCCGTCAGACATGGAGCGGCGAGGGGTGCCGATGCGTCCCGTCGGCATGTCCATCCAACGTACGTTGCGGAAACATGTCGGCGTGTCCAGCATCACGGGCATATAATTACGTCGGCAACGCGTCTGCGTGTCGTCCAAATTAAAGGAGTGGCAGGTTCGCGATGCATCGTAGTCTACATCGAAACCGGGCATACGTCGGCGACGCTTCCGCGTGTGCGTGCCAGAACGGCCGTCTTTCGGCTACAGGTCGACATCCATGCTAGGCAAACGTTCGTGACGCGTCGGCGTGTCGACGACAAGGGGCAGCCAGAGAGCCCAATACCCCGTAAGTAAGGAATATGGCTTGTCATATAAAATTACGCACAAATACGTATAGCACCCACATAGTATCAACCATTTTCCTTACTTCTGGGGTATAGTCGGCTCTCTGGACATACGTCGGCGACACGTCGGTGTTTCCGTTAGAAGCAAGGTATACGCATGCAACAGGTCTGCGTGTCCGTATGTGTCCATCAAACGTACATGCGGAAACATGTCGGCGTGTCCAGCATCACGGGCATATAATTACGTCGGCAACGCGTCTGCGTGTCGTCCAAATTAAAGGAGTGGCAGGTTCGCGATGCATCGTAGTCTACATCGAAACCGGGCATACGTCGGCGACGCTTCCGCGTGTGCGTGCCAGAACGGCCGTCTTTCGGCTACAGGTCGACATCCATGCTAGGCAAACGTTCGTGACGCGTCGGCGTGTCGACGACAAGTGGCAGCCAGAGAGCCCAATACCCCGTAAGTAAGGAATATGGCTTGTCATATAAAATTACGCACAAATACGTATAGCACCCACATAGTATCAACCATTTTCCTTACTTCTGGGGTATAGTCGGCTCTCTGGACATACGTCGGCGACACGTCGGTGTTTCCGTTAGAAGCAAGGTATACGCATGCAACAGGTCTGCGTGTCCGTATGTGTCCGTCAAAATCGGGCATACGTCGAGCGAAGCGGGGTATATAGTAAGTATACGTGTCCGACGCGTCGGCGTGTCCATCAAATGCGCGCATGTTGACTGAGATCTCCCTGTGGGAATTTTAAGAAAGGTAGGGTACTTAATTACGGTGTTTAGGGGTCCTTGAAATGAGGATCGTACTAGTTAGTGCTTGGTAGTGGCCAACTTCGCTCGGTTGTGCATCCTGGACCTGCTCCAAAACCCAACAAACAGAACTGACACACCAAGCTCCGCCTTCCAAACAAACTTTTCGCTGTCAGAAACATATAGGTGCCCCTTGATTTAGGGATCCTTCCAAAAAGATCACTACATAGATGTGTTTTTTTTGCGTGTTG